TCTTGAAATGTAACCATCTATTTCTATTTCCTATCCCTAACACATGAAGATAGTTCCAATAGTTTCCTATAGCAAAAAATACTAAGATGCATTTCAAGGATGGGTATGTAAAATAGTAAAGCATTTGCCTAGCATGTTTGAGGTCCTGGGTTCAATACTCAATATTATCCATCCCTCAAAAAATAAACATCTCATTGGGGGAAAGGTGTTAACTCCATTGTAGAGTATATGCTTAGTATACATGCCCAAGGCTACAGATTCAACCCCTTGCACCAAAAACCAAAACTCAAAACAGAAACTCCTTTAATTGATGACAGAGCTGTGGTACCAATGGAAATTCTTTCTACCTGTATTATCATCCTATTTTAACTGATTCTGGAAAGTTATTTTTTTTAATACATGTGCAATAATACTATTACAGAAGAGAAAATTTAACAAGATGTCACATCAGAGAAAGACAGACATACTGGAGGCATAAGCTACTCCTAAGTAGTTGAGGCCTTGTCTGGTTTACCCTTAACCTATTTAACAGCTAACGAAATGAAAACTTGGGTTGTCATACTGTTTTTACTCTTTGGTAGAAAGATAACAATCATCTTGACTACAAATGAATCTTTCCCAGAATGATCATAAATGTATCTAAATATCTGATGGACTCCAAAATGTGGCAAGAGTTTAGAAAGCAACACCTTGCATTAGGTCCTTTTATCCACTGTTCTTGGTGTAACAAAATACCACAGACACTATGAGATTTTATAAACAATAAAAGTTATTTACAAAAGTTACAGTTCTGGCATCGGTCCACGAAAATGTAAAACTCAACACTGCCAGCCATTACATAACTGTAGCACAGAAAAAAGTCATATCAATCTCGCTTCATAGACTGGAGTGTCCAAAGACTGTTTGGTGAAGGCTGCTCTCCACTTCCTAGGTACAGCCTGGTTGCTACAAGCTCAGAGCAGACAAATGCTGTCATCACAAACTGTAGAATGGAAAGAAAGGCAAGAGGATGCTGCAACTGTGATCCTTTTATGAGGGTGCAAATGCCTTCTACAGGTTACACCTCTTAATATCACAACATGACTTTTGGAAGAACTCTTGCAAGCCCTTTGCTCTCATCTCTCTCTTTTGTTCCTTTCACTGACCTCATCCAGTCACAAGCCCCTTCTTGGAGCCCCTGAAACACACATCAGCTCCTCCTCAGCTGTTCTGCCAGGAAGGAACTCAGGCTCAGGACTCCTAGGTGCATTCCTCCACTTCCTGCAGGTCTTTCCTCAAGACTGCCTCCAGCATCTTCCAACCTGGTCATTCTAACTTTTTGATAGCACTCTATTATATTTTTTAAAACACATATTTCATTGCCTGTCTCTCCACTGCCCCCTTTAGAAGATCCATAAAAGCAGAGACTTCAGCGGCATAAGCGCCTGCCTTGCAAGCAGGCAGTCGTGAGTTTGATCCCCGGTACCAATAAAAAGGAAAAAGACCAAAAAAAAAAAAAAAAAAAGCAGAGACTTTGTTTAATTTCCACTGTAATCTCCCAGCATCCAGAACAATGCTTGCCACGTAACAGTCACTCAAGAAATACTCTTAGGACTTTTGGGATGAATAAATGAATCCAACTGATGCTGTGTCTGGGTACTAAGTTTTTTTAAAATAGGCATTAAAAGTGATAAATAGCAAACAGATATTCTAAAGCAATTCAAAGGTTTCCCCCATGACCTGTGTTGGTGACTGTCATGAAGGCATTTAGAGATCTGCGTGTGGCATATGTGGCTCATTCCTTTTAAGCTGGGTCCTGTGAATCTTCTTCTGCTCTTTCTCCTTGTGTTATGTAAGTTTAAGATAATCAACCACCACACTTTATGATTACTAAGCAAAACACTGTGCTTATACTTACAGAGAATACACTGGTGCCTAGAGCAGCCCTTTCTCTTTACGCATCAAAGGGAGAAACATGTTTTAACCAAGGGGACTAGAGAGGCCCCTGAGGGAACAAGACCTCAGGTTCACCCACGAGTTCATCAGTGTCCTTAAGCACAGTGCCCAGCATATAAGAAGCAGCAATAATTCCTTCCCGTTCCCTTTGCAAGTCTCTAATTTTTATGTAACTTGATGGATAGGAAAAAAGCTACAAACACAAAGGTCACAGAATGAGGCAGCAGAGTCAGGATCTGAACTCTAAATTCTAAGAAAACTTAGAAGCTATTCCCTGCTGACATTCGGCATTCAGCTGGCAGCTTACACGGTGGTTACAAACACAGGCTCTGGCAACAGTCCATGAGAACCCAAGCCTGGACACAGTCAGCTATTCTGTAACTGCAACCCAGAAAAAAGTCCTGTCAATCTTATTTCACAGGCTCACAACTTAATTTACCCCAAGCTGTTACTTCACTTCAAGAGTAACAACTTTCTGCCTTTCTTACAAAGCAGATGTTCTTGCTGCAATATTTTACTCTGCTTTGTGTTCTTGCCCACAAGATAAAACTACTAAAATAACTGGGTGTGGCCCACCTTACAAGAAAACCTCAAGACTATTCAATTTTCAGTATTCACATCAAATACTGCAAACCATTCCTGAAAGATGTATTTTATGCAAAACCAAGTGTCACTCTTTACCCCATAATGCTTTATATTATGGAATATAAAACGCAGTATTCATATTAACATGAAATTTAAAAGTAAATGATGCTATTAACTCTGAGCTTAGCCATACAAAAACTTGAAGAGCCAACAGGCAGATCTATTGTTATGTTCTCTCTGCTGACCAATAACAGTAATGCCCTTCAGCTGGGATCTTGAAATTGGAATAACAGTCACAGACCATTAAAAGCTGAATGGTTAATATTAGAATCAGGTGTGGTAGCACGAAACTGCCTGTAATCCCGATCCTGAAGGCTGAGGCAAGAGGACTACAACTTTGAGACCAACATAGACAACTTCTTAAGATCTTGCCTCAAAATAAAAAGTAAAAAGGCATGAAGATAGAGCTTTGTTCAAAGGCCATAAGTTCGATCTCCCATAAAGGGAAAAACCAAACGGACTAAAGTAGAAAGTAGTGGAGATTAGGGAGAACACATGCCGTGGTGGCCTACAAAATTCAGATGTAAAACTCAGACTGAAAATGAACAGGACACAACTATATAAAGTTCTGCAGGTTCCACTTCAGCTGAGCAGGGTAGCAAACGCTGTAATATCAGCTAACCAGGAAGCTGAAGCAAGAGGATGGCAAGCCTGGCCATCTAAGTGAGACCCTGTCTCAAAATAAAATTAAAAGATTTGAGGATACAGCTGAGTGGTGAGCACCTTTAGGCTTAATTCCTGACACCATTTTAAAAAGTTGTAAGTCCTACCCTTCAACACCAAATTAAACCTTGGTCTTCAGCCAAATTTAGAAAATTTCTTTTTCTGTGTCCTTGGACTTTTGGGGAGGATTCTCTGTAATAACATCTTTATCACAAGATAATCAGAGAATAAACAGACACTTTGTCCCTGTACATTTCCATCTGAATTTAGCAAATCAAATATAAAGAAAATCTGGTACACACAAATATACATGGCTGTGAAAATTTGTATGACACAAACTTTAAACTTTTTCTTTACCTTTATTCAAAACAAAACAAAAAACAGAAATGTATTACAAAATGTTCAAACAAGATCCCTGTACTTACAAAAACCGAGTAGAAAGGATATGATAAAATTTATAAGGTAAAAATATGAATAACTAAATAAAATTGAGATAAATAACAGTAACAATATACATCTATGGGCCTCCAACATGAACTGTTCTTGGGAAAATCTGTGTGGACACACAGCTTATCTTTATGAAAGGCACACAGAGACTTTGGATGGTATTTCAAGATCACAGCTGCTCTTTGCTGATCCCACTGACTTCTTACGGTGAGGACAAATTCTGACACTAGAATACTGGAATAGGGACAATGTAGAAGCTGACTGGATCAGCAAAGAGTGGCTGTGATCTTAAAGACCAGATTTTTCATCCAGTATTTTACAGCTGACTCCTCCACTGGAACATTACAACTCATATAAGTCAGCAGGCTGTCTCCATGCTACCCACAGAGGAAGTCATGAACAAAATAGATTGTTCACACACCATGGAGGACCACTGTGCCTGAAAGGATAAATGGAGTCATCTGTAGGAAAATGGATGCACCTTGAAACTAGAATGTTCTGTGAAATAAATCACACACACATAAGATTAAATATTGCATAAGTTTACTCGTATTTGAAAAACCTAAAATATACATAAACAGCAAAATAAAAGGGACAACAGGAAATGAGACAGATTTTCACAAAGGGGAAGGGAACCGAGAAATGAGGGCAGGGGACAAGATTAAAAGGGAGGAAATAGGAGATGCTATATATGCATGCCAAGTCTCTCCTAGGAACATGATCATCACGTACTACAGATATACATGATTTTAATTGAAAAATTTTTGCCGAAAGAGATAAGAAGCCTATCCTTTTGATTTCCTGACTCCAAATTTTCAATTCTCAAAATTTCTTACATTTACCAATGAATTTACAGATTCTTTGATTCTGCATCAGAGATAAGCATTATATCTCCAGAATGGATAGCTCACATCACTAAAGTCAAGAATTTCCTTTTATATAATGAATGTTTGCTTTTCTTTATCAAATCTATAATTAGTAGTTCTGAAGAAAAAAATTCTGCCAGCCTTAAGGGGGATGAAAAAAATGTGCTAACAAAAGTAAAAATTGATGTGAAATTAAACTTTGACATTTCAAAGAAAGACAAAAGTAGCTCTCAAAAATTGTATTTTAGTTAGCTGCTGATTAAGAAGAAAAATATGCTAAGTGTGGTGGCACATGCCTGTGACACCAGCACTTGGAAGGCTAAGGCAGGAGGATTCCCAGGAACTCAAAGTAAACTGTGCTACATAGCGAATTCAAGGTCAGCCTAAACTACATAGTGAGTCTGTCTTTTAACAAAACAAAACAAACAAAACATACCAACTTACCAATAACTGATGCTCCTCTTTCTGCAAAAGCCAGGGCATAAGCTCGGCCCAATCCTAAAAAAAAAGTTAAACAAAATGTCAACATAATTATTTTGGCCCACCTGACTCAATCAACCATTTTAAACTAATAGGTGAGCAATTACGTACAGTATAATAGTAGTCCTCACTGTTGCTCTCACTTCTACTTCATCTCCTAGAGATTATAGTTTAAAACAACATTTTTCCCACCCATTCTATTATTTCCTACCATTCTACCTTTGTACAACATCAGATATGAACAGCGTTCTACCAGAGTTCCACAAAACTCAGTGAAAATGAGGCACAAACCTTCTTACTGTAATTCTGCCTATTGTAGGTAAACTGATTTTTCTTGAAGCTGCCTAGGTATTTAAAAATAGTAGGAGTGACTTATTGATCCAACTTCTTAAACCTTAGAGGGCAGCTTTCACACCTTATTTACTTGACATTCTGTGACCAGCTAGGCTATGAGTGCCGATGACAAGCTCACAGTACACCAGATCCTCTACCAACATTCCATAAGGCCTTCCAGGAGGACTAAAGCACAACTGCCTGTATTAATTTCCTGTTCAAATAACTACTGAATTGTGTATCCCACCCTGAATCTTCACTATACAATTACCCAGTACAAAAAATTAATTTACTCAAAATATGAAATATAAAAATACATACTCAAAAAGGTACATGTACACATATATATAACTTTTTTTTTTTTTTTGGTTTTCTTAGTGTTTGGGGGTGGGGGGGGTTGGTACCAGGGGTCCAACTCATGACCTCACACTTGCCAGGCAGGCACTCATGCCACTGAGCTAAACCCATGGCCCCAACTTTTATGTTTTATATGCTGTAATTTAGAATATCTCTGGAAGAATACACGACACTGGCAGAATAGTTACTTCAGCGAATACAACTAATTGGCTAGCTGCCAGGGTAAAAGACTTATTTTTGTATTGTTTTAAAATGCGTACACTTTTTAAAATTTAACTGATAAATTTCACTGACCTGCACTAATTTTTGTTTTTATTGATAATTTCAATCATTTGATAAGTATACAAATAACAGCCAGAAGGATAACAAGTTCAAGTCCTACCTGGGAAACTGAGCAAGACTGTCTCAAAAACATACAACTGGCTGCAGATACAGCTCAGAGGTAGACAACCTGCCTAGCATGTGCAAGGCCCTGGGTTCAATTCCCAACACTGGAGAAAAAATAATAGAGATAAATTATCACTAAGATCATTACTAGGATCCTCCCTCACCCCAAAATACAAAGCTTCTCAAAACTAGAAGGTATCACTGAATAATTTTACTATTTCATCTACTGTGAAAGGATCAAACAGAACTCTCCAAATTTATGAATGCTAAGGTCATAATTATCTAGTCTACAACTCATTAACTATTCTCCATGTCAATCTAAGAGACTGCAATCAGCATTTATTAACGAGAGAATACAAAATTTTACAGTGCACTTAATCTACTTTACACTGGGTCATGAACTTATTTTGAATACAGATAAAATTACTTGTGTGGGCATACATATGTGTGTGCACATGTGTGTGTACCTGGCCCTAATATTAAACATACATGTCAGTCACTGTCAAAAGAAGTTAAAACACTGAGAACATCACACCATTTCCTCAAAAGCAAAATGCAAACAAAATGCTTTCTCAAAAACATCACTGAAGTGAATGCAGCTGAGTATAAAATACTTCGCCATTGATGAATAGTCAACTTTCTGACAGGCAGCCCAAGGACTCGTTTTATCAGTTGGGTTGTGAAAACAGGTCAGCTGGCAAAATTCCACTCTTGGTGACTTTTAAGATGTAATTCAAATTCGTGCATGGAGGCGCTCTTAGGCACAGCACAAAAAGTCAGGACCCTGCACCTGGAAGTTAAGAAGGTCACACAGCGGTGGGAAAGCAGTGTAAACCTCACTGCGAGCACATATGCGGGAATGAGTGGTTTAACGCTTCGTCCTTTAGAAACGGGATTATAACAACTCTCCACTTGGGTTCTCTTGAAACACGAGAAGTTCTGGCAACTTTCCCACTGGCTGGCCTACTTCAGAGACGTCTCAGCTCTCCAGGTGCTCACCTTGCCACCCCTGCGCTCAGTTTATTCCTCAATCCTCTCCGTCGATCCTTCCTGTCCTCCTCCACCATCCTCCCTCTCAGTTCTCCCCCTCCGTCTTTTCTCTCTGTCCCCCTCCTCCTCCATTTCCCTTCTCCTCCATTCCCCTCCTCCTCGTCCTTCCCTTCCATCCCCCTCCTCCTGCGTCCTCTTCTGTCCTCCTCCTCCTCGCTCGACCCCGCTCCACCCGGCCCCACGCCCGTGACCAGCGCCCCAGAACCTGCGCACTCGAAGGCAGTCCCGGAGGAGGGGCCCTGGACCCCAGTACCCGCGGCCCGCGGCAGGGGAGGCGACTGGCAGAGGCGCCGGCCCGCAGGAGCTCGGGCTCAGAGCTTCGCGTCCGGCACCGCGGCAGGGCCCGGCAGGCAGGCAGCCCGGGAGGGAGGGTCGCCCGGGGCCTCCGCACCCCTACCGGACCTCGCCCGGCGCCTCTGGCTCCCCTGTCTCTGGGTCCGACGGCCCGGCGCCCTCCTCGGGGCACTCGGCCCGCGCCCACCCGCGGCTCACCTCCCCCCGCGCCGGTGACCAGCACGACGCGCCCGTCGAACCTCAGCGGCGAGCCCATGGCTGCACCGCCGTCGCCCGTCGCCCTCTCACAACCTCAGCCGGCCTAAGGCTACTGCTGCCAGGGGGCGGGGCAGGGCGGGGCGCGGCAGAGTCCCGCGGGCTGCCGGGAGGAAAACGGCGCCCTGTTCCCAAGTGTGCCGGCGCGGAGCGCTTGGAACCCTGGGAAACGTAGTCCGACGTCCATCTAGCTTCCTTGAACTCAGCCTTGAAGGGCCTTCCGGCTGCTGCAGAAGTAGGAGCTGTGCAGCAGATGGTTGACTCGGCATCTACTCTCGCCCATTCTCCTGTGGTTTTGTCATTCACTCAACAGCGGTTTACAGGGCTTGGGCATAGGCCTAGCGAAGTAGCACACCCCAGTCCTTGAGGGTTTTCAGATATGCCCTCTAAGAATTAAAATCTCGGCAGTGTCCTAAAAACTGCAGAATGTAATCCCTGCGTGAAAATCACGTGGGAACCATCCCAGTGTAGTCCTACACCCCACCACTGACCTCCGGAAACAGAATCACAGGGCGCAAAAACAAGAAACGTTAATAGGTGTTCCTCAAAGCATTCATTGATTCATTCACTCAACATCTACTGAGCATCTACTAAGTTTCAGACACAAGTTTACAGGTGATCATAAGGTCATTGCTACTCCAGGTCAGATGGTAAATTTCTCGTGATGGTACACCCCATTAAGACTTTGTGACACAGGACTATAAACACTGTGCAGAAAACATGGAGAAAAAAGGGATCAAGAGATGGGGTAGGGAAGGAAAGGAAAGGGGATGAAAACAGGAATTAGGATGTATTGTGTACATGTGCCATCTGTCCACAAGGAATATAACACTGTACTACAAACATGGACCAGTAAATTTTAAAAAATACTGTGACAAATGTGTGGAAATATAATTGATGGTGAAAAATAAATTTACACGAATCTCTTTGAAGGGAAGAAAAAAAATTACAAAGGAAGGGAAGCAAAACTGCCTAAAAAATTGAGTCCTATTTAAAAAAAAAAAATGGGCATTTTAGCCAGGAAAACACCAGCTAGGTTTGGGGAAGAAGAATATGAAGCCATGCAACTAAGCAGAGCTAAAAAGTTCATGTTTAAATATTCAAATTTCATGCAGAAAAGTTTTGAACAGGATTACATCAAAAGATAATCAGAACATATTTATATCTTGGAAAGATCATTTTGCCCCTTTATGGAGGGATGGATTAGATTTGGCAAGAATAGAGCAACAAGAAAAAAAACCTTGGAGGAAATTTTGAAGGGCAAAAGTGGGAGAAAAATCTTACAATATATTTGGAAATGAAGTTAATAGATCTTTTAATTAATTAGTTGTTGATGTTAGGGAGGAACAACTTTAAAAAACACGTTTCTGGCTTGAAAATCTAGGATATGAAAAACAATAATAAAAAAAGAAATGGGTTATGGCAGACTATTCACCAAAATAAGAAACGATGATAAAAGAGCAACTTTTGCAGGGAAACTTCAGACAAACTGTGTGAGACAATGCAGTGAAGCCCGTGGCTGCAGCGACCAACCAGACATGGTTCTGAGCTCTAGAAGTATGGTTTTCATGTCCAGCAACATGAGAGAAATATCTGTGTAACTAGCCTAACCCTCCAAAGTGCAACACTTTCGCTGACAGCTGTACTTTGAACGAGAACTTTGTTCTGTTACCTATTTGTGCACATCTGCCTTTCACCTTTGCCTGAATCTCAGGGAGACAATCTCAGAGGGCACTGAACTCAGAGATAAAGGATTAGGGTGTAGTTCAATGGTAAAGCTCTTACCTAGCGTGTGTGTGATCCTGGGTCAACTCCCAGCAAACTGAAAGAAAAAAAGGAACAGGAGAGAGAGAAAAAAAGAAAAGGAAAGCAAGCAGGAAAGGAAAACAGGGAAAAAAAAGAGAAAGAAGCATGAGAGGAAAGAAGACAGAAGGAAAAGAAAGGAAAGAAAGCGCTTGATAATTTCCCAAACAGAGACAATTTCAATTATCACTGTGACAACATTCCTTGGGCTTTAATCCTTATGTAGTAGAATCAACCTGAAGTAACCTGATATTAATTAACTAATCAGTAATTTTCCTATTGTCTTGCCTCCTATTCCTCCTTGCAGGGAAAGCAATTTTGAAATGAACAACCTGCTTTTCCTTTTGTTTCTGCTTTCTTCAAGAAAAGCAAAAAAACCAGCCTTCTTTACTGGAACCATCAGAGCACTTATTTTATTGACCAAAGTATTACTCAGTTGTGAAATAAAAACAAACCCCAAATGAGCTGATTAAGAAGGAATAAGAGGAAATATCAGGGAGGATATTTTGTGAAATATTTAGAAATGAGGAGAGTAAATCTTTGTGAGGAATGGGAGGTGGATGTTTCTTTAAAATCAACTTCATTTGCTTGGACCATCAGAATAGTTTATTCTATAGAGTGAAGTTTTTGCCTAATTCTGGAATAGAAAACCAACTCAATGAAGATGGTTAAGAGCTAGGTGCACTGTAACAGGGTCTCCAACCAATAGGACAAGGACCTAAAAGTGATGGCCCATTTCACCTTTCACTCACAGGAACAAACTTGCCTCTCAAGTCATGAGAATTTCTCTGGAGCTACAAAAAAAGCCAGGACTGAGATAATGGTGTGTCAGCCCCCAGCCCCTCACAGCACCCTTTCCTTTAATAAGCCTGTCTGAGCCCCTTCTTCAAACCTATTCCCCTTTCAGTTCTTCAAACTGAAGACCTTTTCCTATCTTCTTTTACTTTCCTTCATTAGGGAACTGGCTTGATCCTTATCAGAGCTGTGTCTCTGTTATCTCTGTTATCTCTGTTATCTCTTCCAACTAAAGCTCTTTCCTCTAAATTTGTACTGAATGCTTTAGTTTTAATTTCATAATCACAAAGGCAAGACTCAGGCTGCTTGCTAACACCTGAAGAAAACAAGCAGCTCATACCCCCTGTACCCACTGTCCTAATCTCTCTCCACCCCTCTCCCAGGAATGATTGTTTTTATCTTCCCTGCGCGCTGGACCTCCTCCTAAGTGTGTTCCCTTTGCTTTGCTCCTATGGATGCCTTCCTCCCAAGAGGTCCCTGATGTAGGAGAGACAGTAGCTTTACAGCTTAGCCTGAGTGATGTATGGAAAGCTGAGAAAGCATGAAGGGATATTACAGTGAAGCCACATTCTTTTTCTTTGTTGCTGCTCAGTTCAGCCAATTTCCTATTATTGGGAAATTCCCTATCTACTCTGAAAATAACAGAAACACATGATCCCACCCTTCCTTATGTCAGGCATAGGCTGTAATCTAAATTCCTCCTAAGGCACTGCAGTGAAAACCAGTAATTGGACAGAGTAAATGCCAAACTATGAAGAATCCATTCTGGTGATAAGTTGGTGGAAGCAGCGACAGCACAGGTTCTAGAGAATGATTCAAGCTGGTCCTCTCAGAGTTTGAGGGGCAGCATTTAGTGTCCCGCTGAAAGGATATCTAAGGTGGCTTGATGAGACTTATTATGTGGCATGATTTGGGCTCTTCTGGGTTTTAGAGACTCAGAGCCTGACTCTCCTTGAGATTCTGTCACTCACCTTTTGTCTACTGAAAAATTCTCTCATAATTAATTCTTGCTTATAAATAAGAACCCAGAGTGATACAGTTATGTACAAAGCACTGTCCTTGCCAAAATGACCATGGTTGAAACCACATTTTTGGTGCTGATTTGAAACAGATGCTGTGCCCACCCTTCCTCCACTCCTGCATTTTCAGAGTCTCCGAAGGGTCCTAACCACAGCCAAGGGTGCTTTTTCCTATGAACAGGTTTATCCAGGCACAAAGGAACCTTGATTGATTGTCTTTATCAGAAATGAACCATGAGCTCTAGTATAAAAGAGGTTACACTTGATACATGAAAAAATACCAGCAGCTAATATAAAGCACGGCAGGAAGATTCATACTAAGACTCAAGCACTATCTTCTCTCATATTTCTGCTTATCTTTTGACAAGAAACACTAAGGGCCCTTTTGTTCCAGACTATCTTTAAGAATGTTCATTTATTAACAATATAACGAATAGGAAAACATAGATAACATTTCTCTGTAGAACCAAAATCAGGCTTGTGAACTATCCCCTAAAAATACAATAAGTCCCTGACTTATGAACATGGTAGATGGGAACAAATCACAGAACCAGCTCATGTGTGTGCCAGACACTGTCGCAGCTGTGCTGCTGTGAGCACCCTGTGTGGTGTGATGATGCACAGCATTGGAGGCTCAGCAGGAGCCCAGGCTGTGCAGAAGCAAGAGGAGACATAGCAGTGATGAGAAGGAGACAGCATGGAAGTGCAAGCCAAGATACACTGTCTATTTGTGTCAGAGGTATAAGACACCGTTGGCCAGATTTACTGATTTACGAACATTCTCTGGGAAGGAGCGCATTCATAACTCAGCCTCTCTTTAAAGCAAAAGTCACACTCAGACCCTTCACAATTCTTTTTTTTTTTCCTAAGACAGGGTCTTGCTCTAGAGTCCAGGCTAGCCTTGAACTCATGATTCTCCTGCCTCAGCCTCTGAGTGCCATGACATCCAATTTCCTTCACAATTCTTGGCAAATCCACCTTGAAAAAAAAGTAAATAGCATATTGTGTAAAGAAAAGACTCAGAGTCACCAGTCCACCACAGTCTAAATGAGCATCCGTATTGAGGCTCCTGTTTTTAATTTGATCCACATGTGGGTAATCTTGCTAGGACTACAGCTCTCAAGATCTTGGTAGTTTATCTAATACCCCTCTTTGCCGTGCTTTCTCCACAGGAAGTATGGAATTGAAATTTAGAAAATTTCTTACAAATAATAATATAGACAAATAATGCCTTAAATTGATGAACCTGTCATAGTCCACCTTTTAAGATACATCAAGAAATATCTTGCATTTTTCCCACTTATTTTTAGTTTCTGCGCCCTCAATCTAGTAGTGAAGCTTACCCATTCAAGGTCTCAGATGCTGATCTAGGCCACAGCCCTGGACTATCCTGACAAATTCACCCACCTTTCTCTAATTGAACAAACAGTTCAACTGTTC